AGGTAATCAAGGGGGCGGCTAAGTCTTGTGGCAGAGAGTAGACCAGGATTTTGGTTTCAAGGTTTCGAGAGGTTTAGAACTATGTTATTTCGCTTATTAGAATCTTTTTCTTTGGCTATTAGATTAGATTTCTTTGGTTGTTTTTGGATTTTTCTCGGTTGTTGGAGGATTTTGGAAATGGTTTGTTTGGAGACCTTTATATCTTATTTAGAGTTATATTCAATTTCGTTATTGGAAGATTTTATTTGGTATTGGAGACTATATTTTGGAGGTTTTATATAGGACTCCGTTACGTTTTGAAGTAACCACCCTTCCTTCGGAATGGGGGTGTTACATATGTGAGAACCTACATTTACATTCAAAAGGGATAATGGTGAAAATACACCAACTCATAGCAACCATCAGACTCAAACCCATAACCACACCAGAAATGTTTGCAGACAATTATCACTTAAATGAGCAAACTATCTACCACTACCTTTTTACCAACAATTTTTTGTGGGAAATTTTCATTATAGTTGTATTGATATGGAGTATGGATCCCGTGGACATGTAAAACATCTACCAAGAGCTAAGGTTGGTACTAACCTTGGATGTATAGTTATAGTTATTTTCTTTTGTTTTCAGGCCCTTTTACTCAGAGAGTTCTGCTGACTCTGGAGGAGAAGCTTCTTCCTTATGATCTGAAGTTAGTTGATATTGGTAACAAGCCAGAATGGTAATCATACAGTTCCCCTTTCTAGTTAAGCGAGTTTTCATAAATTTGCTATACCTTAACGCTCTGCATTTTATGTAGGTTTTTAAGTATTAACCCAGAAGGTAAAGTTCCAGTAGTGAAGCTAGATGATAAATGGATAGCAGATTCAGATGTTATTACACAGTCAGTGGAGGAGAAGTTCCCTAACCCATCATTGGTGACTCCACCTGATAAAGCTTCTGTGTATGATTATGCTCTTTCTGCCCCTTTTGTTCAATTTAAGTTCATTTTTGCGAATTTGTTAAATTGTTTATAATACTAGTAGTTGTAACTTGTATGCCAGTGAGGAAAAATAATTGAAGTAGCCATCTGATCCTGAAAGAAACAATTATAATGCCAATCTAATAGAAAAGAGATCTGCTCTAATTATGATATAGCTAGATTTTGGAATATTCCTACAACTAGAATGAAATTACTAATGATTATCGTAAATGTTTCGCTTTGCTTGATTGATTTATTACAGTTGTGAGAACCCTGTATAAACACAGAACATGAAGGAGGCTCTAGACCGAGACTATTATATAACAACAGTCAGCACCTTGTGTAACATAATTTAAGCTAACAGATATAGATTCCTCCTCAAGTTGGAGAATAGATTTCTGTCTTGCCCAACTTACTACTGAATACAAATAAAATCTATAACAGTCTTCCACAAGGCTCTAGAACTGATACTGATACTTGGATGGATGGAGGATGTGTAGTTCCCACATGGTTAGCACTAGGTGGAAATTAATGATAATGTGCTTGGTACGCTCATTGGAAACCCGGATCTATGCTATATGAATAACAAAGTATTATTATGTATAATCACATCAACTTGCATGTTCTGTCTGACATTAGTGAGATGTAAGGCCTAGAGTCATTTTCATGAGGCTTAGGTAGTTGCTGGTACAGTGACATGGTCCGGTCTGTGTTTAAATGGCAGTAGCCAGCAGTGGCATGCAAGCTGATGGTAGTGGAGAGTGAGCAGATGGTGATAGAGGCACTTAAGACTACTTCTGACAGCTGATTTCAGGCGTCAATGAGTAGCAGTTTGACTGCTATCATAGGCACAAGCTTGAAGGGTTAGGGTTTTGGTTACTACACCATGCAAATGTTTAAGAGTTAAAATCAATGATTTGTTACTCGGTGAGAATCTTGCATGGATAGATTATCAAGCAGACTCATGGGAAAGAGGATAGATAATGAATCCCGGTGTAACATAGGCAGGCCATAGTTGCATACTTGGTCTCAGTAATATCCTCCAACACTTCTTTGTATGTCTTTTTATTTATGAAACACCACCATCATTTTTTCTTCATTTACCCTGTGAAGAAAGTTCTTGTACCTAACTTCTCTTATTGCTATCTGCTAACCTGCCGTTACTTTGTGAAGAATTCATATTTTTTGTCTCGTTTGGTGTTAAAGCAATTGTGGAAGAGAGTGACTACTTCTATCATCTTGTTTTCCATCTTTGGTGAGCAATGAGCACCTATAACAAATGGGAAAGGAGCCTTCAACTACCCTTTAATCTAAACCTGTTTGCTTAATACTTTACCATTTTAAGGATAGCCCAGGTTTACTGGTTTTGGTATCAAGAGATGCTATTACTTAATATTGTTGTACGTGCATAATAATTTATATGAAACAATCAACGTAGAAAAACATTTAATTGATTCAGAACCACTAGAGACATCTCATTGCTGACTTGTATATGCAGTGGGTCAAAGATCTTTTCCACATATATTGGCTTCCTGAAAAGCAAAGACCCAGCTGATGGAACAGAGCAAGCATTACTGAATGAGTTGTCTGCTTTCAATGATTATATAAAAGAAAATGTGAGTTTTCTCCACATCTACACACACAGAGACACATATAGCTACCTATCACTATGGAGACTTGATACACCTAATCACTTGTATTCTATCTTAAATAGAGACTGTATCTTGAATTTGTTTGCTCACTTAAATTTCACTTGTTTGTTGAAGGGCCCATTTATCAATGGAAAGGATATCTCAGCTGCAGACTTGTCCCTTGGACCAAAGCTGTATCATTTGGAAATTGCTTTGGGTCATTACAAGAAGTGGTCAGTTCCAGATTCACTTCCCCATCTGCAAGCCTACATGAAGGTACACCCATCTTCAACTGAATTGCGCAAAATAATTCTTTATGCAAACCTGAAATTTCCTACTGCATATTGTATGAGGCGACCTGGATTATTGTTCTGTGCTTTGACGTTAATCCTTTCCATTAGCTATTATAATTAATTTGATATTTCTGTTAAGGCTTCTGGCTTGACACATAGTTAATAATACGTTTTTCTTTGGATGATAGAAGATAAAAGTGCAGGACTTCCATTCTTTTGATCAATAAAGGAGGACCAGTTATAACAAGAAACAACCCACCTTAGTATTAGGCACTTCTATTGTTACCTATTTATGGACCGCAGGAACATGGACGTAAAAATTTGTCACAGTAAGCAGTATATCCCAATTCCTGAACACAATCAAGATGATCGGCCTTTGACGGCATCTAGGATTGGCCGTCTCATGCATCATTTCTCCCTATGGATTTCTTTTGTAGTTTCAAGGTAGACATATCTCTAACAGAAGTTTGAGTTTGGCTCCAACTTTTAAAAATGAGCAAGTCTTGGCATGCGCAGCTTGCTTCACATCCCAACCCCATATCCAAGTGCATCTTAAGAGTATATTGCAAGGTTACAATGGTAGCTTATTGCACAACCATTTCTTCAAGTTAGTCAATGGAGAAGGCGACTATCCACCAATTCTCAACCCACAACTTTGCCTCCAGCTCCTGTCTTGTGTCATTACATGTGACTACTTTCAATCCCAACCTTTTCACAGCCTCATCAATATCATTTGTGCTATTTAGTGTTGATTATTAGTGAACAAACCTGACCTAAATTTTTATGTCGGGCTGACAACAAGTAGAGAACAAAGCGCTTACGTCATTGTCAGTTTCATCTTGTTAGTAAAAAACCACAGCCACATCACAAAGTACTTACCTTTGGGCATATCCAGTAAAGAACCATCCTTTGCTACTATGACAACAGACCTTATGTCAAACTAGTGATGTCCAAATCCACGAAAATTGATGCATCTTGCAATAGAAGTGGCGTCCTCAAACTACTACTGTGAGATGGATGGGTAGAATGAAAAAGCGTATTAGATTGGTCAATATATGCTCACCTCAAGTGGTAGTTTCTGCAGAGGGTTTAGACAGAACCTTGTTCAAATGTTCTTTCAATCTGATAAGTTACTTTTACATCATCCCCCATAGCCATCAAAATACTATACACAAATCCTATATAAACTTCCAAATTCAACACCATTGGACATAGAGATCATCACACTTCTCTTTCTGAGGCAACTCAGAATAGGAAGACATAGGGTAGAAAATTAGGTATATTTCATGCACTAGTTGAGAGTACACTACACGTGGGGCTGTTGCTGATAATCAGGTGTCTGACATGATGGGTCTACATATGTCAATCACCATACTCATTTGTACCTCTTGGTCTTGCTTATTTTCTTTCACCCATCATCCATGTACCTAATCAAGAACACTTTCCAATTCGTGGCAAGTATGAATTATGAAATGCTTCCTTTGGGCAGACATTAGTTGATGTAACTTTGAGGTCACAGATTATAGCACTGAAAGTAGCAATGCTGGTTTCGATGGTCTTGAATTTTGCATCTTGGTAGGTTCATGCATATCATTTAGTCGACTGTAGTATGCTAGTTGTGATTAGTGATCAAATGTAGCTTCCATTTGTGAAACTGATCCAACTTCAATTGAATTATGTGTTTCAGAGTGTGTTCTCGTTGGAGTCATTCACCAAAACTATGCCACTGACAGAAGATGTGATTGAGGGATGGCGACCAAAAGTCATGGGTTAAAGCCATGTATGACTAGTGACAAAATCACTAGTTGTATTTGTTATGGTTTTTGGTTGTACATGTGGAATCTGCTATCATCCCTTCCCTTTTTCAATCACCACTTTTTAGATGCCAATAATGGCCAAACCATTGTTCTAATAACAATTCCTTCACATCCTCATGAACTACTACTGTCATTTGTTGTATAAATTTGTCGGTAAGATGAGCACAACGATTCTCATAAAACTGGGATAAAATTAAAAGAAAAGATTAATAAATCTACTCATAACAGTAGTCGGTAACATATATGATTTGACATATGTTAGCATATTTTTATGTCATTTCATTGTCTATATATAAAATATTGTTATCGTGACAAAAAAAAAAAAAGTTAAATCCTTGTGATACATCATTTTCAAACATACAAACTTTTATCAAAATTTGTGAAGTCTGTGTATGGGTTGTTACATCATCTGATGGTGCCAATAAGGCAATAACCAAAGTCGAGTCTCCTTCTTAGAGTAACCGTAGTCCTGGACTAGTCCCTTTATAAACTAATTTGTTTTTTGGTCATAAATCAGTCAGTAATTCATAAACGAGTCATATTTTATTAATATATTGAAAACAAAGAAAAATTTCAGTTTTCATCCTTATGATTTGCAATCCATTTCTATTTTCCCTCCATGTACAAAACACTATTTAATTAAACATTGCAAGGCTAGTTTTTAGAATTCATTAAAGATTGATGATAATTAAGAATTAATGGTTTAATAATTAATACCATGTCTTGCTTTGATTTTTTTGTACATCATCTTATGGATGTATAATTTTAATGATTTTTTTAAAAAAATTCACTTTTCAAAAATCTCAAGGTCATGCCATTTGGCAAGGACCGGTTCTTCACAATTCGTAAAAGCGGTCCTATTTGTTTCGGTCCCAATGGGGCTGCTGTAATAACAAACTCTATCGTCACTTCCACTTTTGCACATGAATTAGGTGTCATGCAACAAAACATATAATTAAACACACATCTTTTAAAATCAATTTTGGCTATTGATGATTTTAATAATTCACTATAGCAATTTAAATACGCCTATTAGGGTTAAAAGAGAATATTTAAAGTATTTTTAAGTTTATAAGATCAAAATGGTAAGTTTTTATGTATAAAAATACACCTATAATAGGTGTTCAGGCCCAAATTGAATAACCCAATAAATTATATCTTTATGAAAAAAATATGATAACAGAATAAAATTTGACAACAAAAGTAAAACATTATATTAGTCTTTTATTGGACACCTTTTTAAATTTTTATAAAAGCATCCAAAAAACGTTTTTCAAGAAGTGTGTCCAATAAAAAGGCTAATAGAATGTTCTACTTCGTTGGTTTTGAGAATACGTGGAAACTCATTCAATTACCATCCAAAAGAGTCCTTAAGAAGAGAGGGGGAAATTGTTCAAATCTAACCGATGTGGGACTCTAAAAGTTTTATTTATTTGTAAGAGATGTCCGAATGAGGGACCAAGTGTGGCAATAAATCAAAGAATGGAACTTGAATGCATGATTATCAAATACGTCTGAATTAAATGCGGGATAACTTTGAACCCCTAAAATTCAGAACGGGTGTTGAGGAAGGGATTCAAATCCCATAGCGAGAGCATCGAGGGAGAGATCGGAAGAGTCGTGAATGATATAGTTTTTGAAGTAACAAGAAGTATGAAGTCGTAGCAACAAGTTTCAAGGAGAAATCAATAAGTTTCATGTATGTTTTTGATGTAAAACTGAAGCTCGATCGTTCACAAAGATGAGAGTTACGTTTATTCAGGTCGGATTAACCGATTTGAAGACGTTTGAACAACTCAACCCAATAAAATTCAGGTTAGGTTAACCGATTTGAAGACGTTTGAACAACTCAACCCAATAAATACTGATTAATAGTATTTAACTGTATCAATTCGGTAGCAACTTACCTGAGGTTACGTTTTTTCTAACACAAGTAAGTTTGTTGACATGAATTTTTGAGTAGTTATCCCATTATTAGGATCACGAGTTTAAATAAGACCCTTGCCTGCCCTACCTTACGCTTGAATTCTGACCAAATCTGGGTCAAACCCACCACCCCCCTCACCCGCACTCAAAACTGGCGATCCAAACACACACACACAGAGGGTGAGAGCCAGCCAGCCATGGACTTCACCCCACCATCAAACCCTATACAACAACCCAGCCCCATCTCGTCAATCCCTTCTTCTGCTAAGCTTCCAATTAAGCGCAAAACCCCTGCTTCTAATCTAATCCTTGCACCGCCCAAACTCGAATCCACCACCCATTTCGCCGATGATGACGATGCCAGACACCCTCCTTTCAAATTTCATCGGATTTGGACCGAGCCGGACGAGATCCGTTTCCTCCAGGGCCTTCTCGATTGTTCTTCTCAAGGATTGTCGTTTCCTCGAGATCTTGGAATGTACTATGCTCGATTTTCACATGGTATGTCGCAGCCCTACACCAAATCTCAGCTCTCCGAGAAGCTCCGTCGTCTCCGGAAGAAGTTTCGGGTGATTTCGTCGCGGCTATCTAAGGGGCTTGATAAGGCGCTGCTTTCGCCTCAGGATCGTGCGTTGTATGATCTTTCCAAGCAACTTTGGGAGCCAGACCTAGATCGTCCGTCTTCGCCGTCTGCCGTTACCAATTTCAATTCTAATCCGAACAACAATTATAGATATAACTCGAACTTGGTTGGGGTTAAGCCTAGTTACTCGCAGACGTTGCCGTCTTCTTCGATGGCTGTATTAGCTTTGCCATCTGTGATTAAGAAAACCAATACTCGCGATAATGGTAACAAAGGTAACAACCATGGTGGTGGTGGTGGTGATGATAGAAAAGGAGATTTCAATGGTGATATGAAGCTTAGTGATATGAATGCTGAAATGGAGCGAAATCCCCAAGTTGTGCGAAACGAAGTGAGGGTAAAAAGCGGTAACGAAGCGAGGGTAAAGAGCGGTGGTGATACAAGTAGTGGGGTTGTGCATTTTGCGACCAAGACTCTGGCTGATGTGCTTGATCAGTCGTTAAAGGAGATTAGAATGATGATTGATCTTCAAGGACATTCAAAGCTGGAGAAAGATATGAGTTTTGAGAAGCGTTGGAGGGATCAACATATTGCAGAATTCGATGCATTCGCCAAACGTTTGAAGTTAATTGTGGAACATTCCTCAGTGGTTAGTAAATAAATCTTTGTATATCAAAATTGGCATATAACTACTCTTTATATGTAGAAATCTTCAGTTGGTCTTCTTATGATCATTTGGGTTTATGTTTACTTTGGTTCCCTTTTTCTACCTAGACTATTTTTGTACTTGCATAGTTTGCATAATGGTGAGAGTGTCCATTTTCACTTCTTTTCCCTGTTTGTAGATTCACTAATCAAATATACTATAATTCGTTAGTTTCATGGGTTGTTTTTTATGCCAACTAAATAGTTGCTAGACTAATCTTTTTCCTTGTTAATAGAGATTGAACTAACACCAGGGGCTGGTTTAAGTGTTTGACAGTCAATTCCAGGACTCTATTCAATGTGGCATAAATTCTTTGATTTGATTCCTCTCAGTGCCATCAGTTTCTTTGAAAGGGATGCTCATGCTTTGCAGTTTTTCAAGAACCATGTGGACTAATTGGACCATAATTGTCAAACGCCATGGTTACAGAAAAAAGATGACATTAAACTTGGGTTCTTGGACATTGACTCCAGATCTTTGAAAACTTGCAGAAATAAAGTCGGTTAATTTGATGAATTAATGATATGGCATAGGTTTTTGTTCTTATTTGGGTGGTTTACAAGATCGCATTTGATAGTCTATTACAAGATCTTGTAGTGTTGGGTTACTGGTGTTTCCTTGTTATGGTGATTGTGAGTAGGCACAGAATTTGGTCATTCATGGTTGGTATCGCGTGATTTTTGAGAAGGGTTGCACATTACTTACGGGATAGCTAATTAATATTTACTGTGCTATAACTTGAATAAACAATCTTAGGACGGAAAGAATCTCTCTTTCACATTGCACCTGCCCGTCACCACCATGCCTGCAGGCGATCACCAGCACCAATCATTCAGTCAACATCAAGAATAACTATGCCTCACCACCTTCTGTCTCTACTTTCCACATTCCACTTTGTGAAAGAACATGGGATATGAACTTGTTTTGATGAAATAAACCCAACTGGATTATCCCAAAATCGAAGATCCATGATGTATGAGTTGCAGTCTTCTTCTGGGTCCCCATAGGTGTAGGCGGTGAAGAAACATATGGCTGCCTGCTTCATGGGCTTTGATGCAGCAACCTAACAAAATCTGTGTGATCAAATTCCACACAGCACATAAATAAATAAAAACCATTCATGTTTGCATATATTGGATGAGCATAATTCTTGTGGTCTGCAAATGTTTGTCATGGATTATGATAACTGTTGTTTGCATAGTGAATGAGCATAATTTTTGTGGTCTGCAAATGCCTGACACAGTATAATTCACATATTGCTGAACTAGAGTTATTCATGCAGCAGTTTATGAAAGGAGTATTTGAAAATCGACACACACACACACATAGTAAACAACATATTAGAAAAATTGTCGAGACGTGGGTTTTTGCAGACACATGACTATTTTGATAAACTTGAAAAAAAAAATTGACTAACAAATGAAACCAACTTGAAAATTAATTATTTTAATAAATTTCCCTCATGCTTAATATATTCTTTTTTTTCTTTTTCTAGTGGTAGATGCATCAGGTAGTTTGTTTCCATCTTCACAAATTTAATTAGATTTTAAGTTACCGGTTAGGAGAACTTCTAATAATCCCAATAAAATTTAAATCAATGATCATTAAAGAGTAAAGGGTCGTTTACCCAATACTTACTTGATAAGTATTTGCCGATAAAATTCAACACTATCATTTACTTACTGGATAAGATTTTAGTCAACAAAAACGGCATCATATACAACAATTTACCCGGTAAACACTAACCACGGAAAGAGTCGTCGCCCTAACTTACCGCGTAACACTCTCAGTCCTTGTCTCGCTCTTACCGGGTAAGATTTTTGGTTCTTGCCATATTCATCCGGCAAGGTAATATGAGTTGGTAAGCGCTTACTCGAGTAACTGTTTGGTAAACGACCCCTAAGAGTTCTTTATTAGCAAATTAATAAGCTTAATAAGACTCATAGATCAACTACACATTATTAAGGTTAATAATATAAAAATGTCTTATTTAATAAGCTTTTAAAAGAGTCTTACGTAGAAAGCTAAGTTTCTTTTTTCAAACATGTCCTTCCAATTAAAAAAAACACATTCTTTTATCTATGAATTTCCTTCCCAAATAAAAACATTTTCAATCTATACATACAGATTAATTCACATGGATAATTTTATTCATACAAAACTTGACAAAAAAACCAACCAAAAACCCCCTAAATGTAAATACTAAATATCTGAATTATTCTAAACGTTGAAATTATTGTCTCTGCTTTCTATTCGAAGAAAACGGAGCCAAGTATGAACGTAAAAGATTAAATACGCTGGTATGTAATTAATTAAAATAAACAATTATAAACCAAGACAAATAAACTAGATCTGACGGTATTTTTTTAAATAACTTCAACTATTTATTTTTCAATACAAAAAACCTTTTTGATTAAAGATAATTTAGGACATACGGTCTCACGTGCGTCCCCCGTAGCATGACATGTGTGAAACCTTTTACAGCTAGCAAACAAAGAAATTAACTCAAATGACTATTTCTTATATTTAAATTGGTCTTCTAATCATTTTTCTTCTTGATTTATTTAAGTGTCATTACTTCTGCAACACTCAGGTTCGTAATATTAGCTAAAAGACAAAAAAAATCAAATTCAACCAGTTTATCATCGCAATTGCAGACTTGGCCGTCGCAATTGCAGATCTGTATTGATTAATTAGATTGGTAGCAATTAAATTAATATGTAAAGTGACTGGTTTATGGTGATACAAAATTCATACCCCTACCATTGTTGATTAATTTACTAATTTTTAATGTTATGGGTAATTTACATTTGATTGACTAAATTTAAATCAAAGCTTCAAGTTGAGTTTTAAATAATTTCAAGTATTTTGTGATGCAAATGATGGTATCGGATGATTGTAAAACTGTTTGATGCTATAAGATGGTATTTTGCAAATGACAAAAAAGAAGGGATGAAACGTAAAAACAGTTGATTTGACAACAGGAAAATTATTGAATAACAAAATACCAAAAATACGAGCTAACAAATTTGACTCAGATTGTGAGAAAGGAGATTGCAAAACAGCAATGAGAATGAAACATAATTCAAGATAAATTGTGTGAAAAAACCCTTATCCACACACTTATTTATATCTAAACCTGAAAATTCTGATTTTCAAAAATATTGCTTAAATTAGCTTTTATAAGTGGTTATGTTTAGTTACTAGTTTGTAACAGTAAAAGAAAATTAGAAATCCAACATTACTGTTTTCTTTATTTAACCTATTGGCGAGCTTGGACTAGATCTAAACCGATCCTAGACAGACAAGTCCTACTTTATCCAAAATTGGTCTTGGACCGGGGCTTATTGAATTTGGGTATGAACCAAACTTTGCATTACCTAGTCCTTATCTTGGGCTTTGACCAAAAAATATAATTGATTTGAGCTCGAAGACCTAGATCATGTTTGTAATTAGGGGTGCTCATGGATTGGGTTGATCGGCTTGAAGACTTTTGAACAATCCAACCTAATACTTGCGGTTTGAAAAATCTTAACTTAACTCAACCCAAACCAAACCAAAGTGCAACCCAACCCACACCGTACGGGTTGGCCGGGTTGGTCGGGTTGATACTTTGGTACATTAAGATATTCTTCTAACATTGAATATGTTAGTTCTCTACTTATAATTTCTTTTTCTTCATCAACCATTTGATACAACTTATTCATACTTCTTATGTATACCATGTTCAGTTAATTTTCTCAATCTACATATATATGTTCACAGTTACTGAACATATATACGAATGAGTTATATAAAGATGTGAATAGATTGAAATATGTGTATATAAAGAGCGTACGTGATAATTAATTGTCTAATGTATATATTAATATAAATTCAACAATCATATTAAATCCAATAAATAAAAGGATATCGGGTTCATCGGGTTGAATTGGGTTCAAATAATAGTAACCCACTATCAATTCAATACCTACGGTTTGAAAATTTTACAACTCGATTAAACATCGGGTTGTTTCGAGTGGATTTATTTCGCGTTGGATTGGGTTGATCGGGTTGGCCGGATTTTTGAGCACATCTACTTGTAATTGTGCCTACTTCAACTGGTCCTCTTTTAATCAATTACAAGTTCCATGTCCATATGCATGCCATTATAATTAACTTTAAAATACTCGTCAAAACTTTTTTTACTAATATCTTGTACAAAATCTGGGATTTGTATGTGATATATATATATATATATATATATATATATATATATATAGGGG